TTCACTTTGTTACTTGCAGTTAAAACATTAGGTTTATTTGTAATATCCTAAGTGCCTGTCAAGGTTAAAAAAGCTCACGAATACAATTCTTAAGAAAGAGAATCAATATTGGGAGAGAGGAGAGTAGCATTTATATTGCATCAGCTGTTAGTTACTGGTCAGTTACTGGTTTAAAAAGCTAATTGTTCTTAAACAGGACTTCTCTGTTGAATAACCTGTTAATACTAATATACCCTTATATATGCGCTTACGAAAAACCCCTTTTTGTGCTTAGAAAAAATGGAATGTCAAAATAACAACTTTATAAATTGATGCCAACAAAAAAGGATCTTTTAACTGCATATGCATAACACTAACACACACCCCTTCCCCACAAACATACAAAACATAAACCTATCTTTCCAAACAATACAACAACTCCGAATAAAAAAGTTGCAACAAAAGTGAGAAAAAGGAAAATAAATCTGAGAGGACGGCTTTAGGGGCCTTTCACCCCAACCTCCGCACTAAACCTCCCCAAAATTTATAACCATGTATGTATGTGTGCCTTGGTTTTCGATTTCTTGTTTCTTTTTTGGCTTATTGTCACAAGCAATACGGACTTTCACATTGTAGATATGTATGTGCGTCGTCTGTTACATATGTCAACTTGTATGCCTCACGAGTAAGGGTAATGTTTTCACAGTAGAAAAGATTTGTTACAGATTTCGCCACACCAACAAGAAACCAAGCCTTTGTAATCGAACATGGAAACCTGTGGAACAATGACCTCACAAATATTATTTGGGTTGGTATGCTTTTCCATCTTTTTTAAAATTTATTTATATTTTTGCAATTCAGGAAAGGTTTTTCAAACTATTCAAACTACTGGATTAACAAAAAAGAAAACTTTGAAAAGCACAAAATATTATTTTGTGACGAAACTCACAAATGAAACAGTATACCCAATACGAAAAAAAGGAACAATACTCACAGCAAATAAAGTTTGTGGGTTTTTGTTTTAGACATGCTTCAGGTGAACGGCACCCAAAGCTAATATTTTTTCCAGGCGAAATTTATGTGTAACGATTATTTCGGCTGAACGAATACCACTCATTCCAGCGACCGCAGAACAAAATCATTATTTACACAATGTACCAAAATTGGTTTTTCACGGTGCTCGAATTGTATCAGAGTTCGTAGTAAATTGAGCAAATGTTCATCTGAATGACTTTATGAAGGCTAAGATTATCAAAAACATGCATGTACTGTAAACGCTATGAATTAGCAAAAAAAAAAAATAATCACAAAAGCGAGGGCGGGAAATATTGTAGTAATAACCTTTTTTGCGTCGCGCTCACAAAGTCTGGTGGGATAAATTTAAAGGTTTTTTTAAAGGATTTTTTTTATTTAAAATCAAACAAAAACAAACAAGCGTTTGTCGAGCTTTGAATTTTTTAATTTAAATAATCATTAATCGGTTGGAATCGTTTTCCATTCAAACAGCTCAACACCTATCTTTTTTACGATTTAACGAAAAAAAAATTTGCTCATTGCAACCATATGCTAATTTAATTATTGACTAAAGCTGCTTAGTCATTCAACAAATTTGCATGTCATGGTAGTCTATTTATAAGTAAAAATACTTGTCGCATTTGGATAAAAACACAGCTAAATTAAAAATAAAAAAATCTCTTCATTGTTATTGAATGCGACGGGCTAACAAATCAAGCTCTAGCTCAAAGCTCATTTTGCCCTTTACTCGTGCAGAGCATACATTTTACAAAAATCTCTAATATAATAAAATTCTTAATAGCAAGCCTAAACAATTTGGAATTTAGTTACGAACATTTCACGAATTTCACGGTTATCTGGTTTCTGACTGCAGGAGCAGCAGGAACAAGGCTTCGGCATCTGCAACATGTGCAACTCGCATTTATTCCTGACCCTGGCACATGGCATCCGTTTGTTTTTGTGCGTCTGTTTAGTCATTTAAATTAGATTGCTTTTTGGCCAACGTGCTTGGCATATTTGATTTTTCGATAGCTAACTCGAAATTAGATGCAATAATATATCTTAAGGCAACTTTTTAAAATCGCTGTCATAAAGGTAAACTTTTTTAAAAAATTATATAATGGCCAAATTTGAAAACAAACATAGATTATAAAACCATTTTACGAGACCTCAAAGATACTTTAGGAAAAGTGGTAGGAACTTCATACATTTGGATAAAATAAAATTTTTTACAAGGAAGGGCTTTATTGCTAGCAAAAAAATCTAATGTTTTATTTTCATTGAATTTACCTATTTAAAAAAAAAAACATCGCCAGTAAAAACTTCAAGACATATTGCTAAATAAATATTAAAAAAACATCTGTCCTGACCCACAAAAAATGGGACGCACAGCTGTACGAGCAGGAACATAAGCCACAATTCAACACAAAGGACATGCAGCCATGATTTTTATGAGCTTGTATTTATATGGTTTCCTTATATCCATGCCGTAATAGCCAAAGGTCCTGCAACCAGGATTGTATGACAACACACAGGCAACAAGGGCCAGCTAAAGTGGAATACGGGGTAGAAAATACAACCGATTTCTGGTACACATGTTTTTTTGTGCTTGCAGTTACACTTAAGGGCACTTGAAAAATAACTTCTTCAAAAACAGTTTTATTAGCAATTCTTTACTATTTATTTCCCCTTACAAATTAAAATTACATTAAATAAATTCCACTTGAAATGTAAATGATAATAATGACCAATTAATCAATCACATTGGGTCATTAATTTAACAACAATGCACTTCATTTGCAAAATTGCCCACATTCCTTGGGCTTCTGATAAAGATTGCTTTATTATTAAAAAAAAAAAACAATAATGAGGGGTCCTTAAAGTGATTCTATAATTTATTTGATTTAATAACACTTAAAAAGCAGTTGCATGAAAACCCCTTTTATTTACATTTTTATAGCTTTTCTCAAACTAGGCAACAATAGTCAGAATGGAAATCTTCTTTGCTGCTACAAAATAATCGTAACTTTTATTAATTGACACGACAACTGCTTGTGCACAATTTTTGAATTTTAAATAATACCCTTTGATGGTTTAAGGATTACTCACAAATTCGAGTTTAATTGTGCGGCCAGGCTGGGGGGCAATAAAATAATTTTACGATCAATTTCCCGCCTGCCAGCTTTTCTTTTCGTTACTCCCTCGTCTCCGAGTGGACGAGTGAAACAACAGGAAAATTCGAGTTGGTTTTTCCGAACTCTTCAGTCAGGTGGCCACTGCAAGTTCCTTTGGGACTTCCTGGCCATCATCCTCGCACTTCCTTCGACTTTCTCGTCGGCAGTTTGTGGCTGACTTTCGTTTAAAAAGCGACAAAGCTGAGTTTCCCTTATGACAGGGAGCCTTTTGCTATTGCCCACATCATCAAGTCACTGGCAAGAAAAGTCGGTATCCAGGTAACATAAAGATGGAACAATGCAGACAAGAGAAAACCGTGTACAAATGCAGGTGGCTTACAAATAGTGCAGCAAGAATACTCGTCAACTGTTTACTTTGGTATATTGAGCAGCTTTAAGAGGGAGCTTTGTTGACTTTAAATATATACACATATAGCTCGTTACTTATTTAGTATTAATTTTATAAAAATCCAAAGACTATAGAATAAAATTTATCGAAAATTTATTATTAAGCACATAACATATATAAAATTTAGCTTGTTAAAGTTAGCTTCCTTTCATGTCGTTATTGAAAAAATGTTCGTGGTCTGGCATAGAATATTTATCAATAAATCTATACCATATTAAACCAAAGTGTTGCAAAAACAATAAACAATTGGATTCACTATAAATCTAAAATGCTTAAAAGTAATATTTAGGTTTCATTGAAATTAAATAAAACATACACTACAGTTTTAGACTATTTGGTGCTGAACTGAAATTAAAAGGTATAGGAAATATATTTTATGGTATTGAATTAATAGTTACTTTAGTTTATTTTGTACACTTATTAAAACAAATCTTTAAGGGTGCCTTTAACTTTTTGCATATGTCAAGAAAGGTGTTGTGCAACACCTTTAAATCTTCTATTTGTAATAGTTTTCAACAGATTTTCCCTATTACGATTTACTTTTTAGCTTACAGAGAAAGTGGGCAACATCACCAAGTAAGTAACGCCAAGCATAACCATAAAAAGCCTTGGCGCGTTGACTGCCGTCGTCTGAAAGCCACAACCACGAAAGAGTTCAGGGCTCGGTGGTCGCCTTTCCCTTTGCCCTTCTCTTTCCCTTCCCCAAAAATCACTCTGAAGGATGTGCTCCGGCTGGGTGTCTGCAGATTTAGATGAAGGCCGCGATGGCTGGTCGGCGGGTCTGCCTACCCTCCCTTATCCTGCCTTGCCCTCTTTGGCCATGATTTAATTAAAGTCTACATGTGCTAAGTAGATTTTATTCTTTGCTCGCTCATTTGGTTTATTTGCCTATTTTTCTGAGTCTTCTGTTCGCATTCCGCCTGCTGGTCATAATTGATTTAGGCATTCTCTGCATTAAGCTTTGCCAGGCCAGGAAAAAAAAACTGCTCATACACCAGGAATTAAGTCAGGGAATGGTAGCGGAAAAAGTTATCTTTGATTTATTAAGGGAAATGTGCTGTGACCTGCAGGTCAAGTTATTTTATTCAGCCAGTCTCTTAATAAGTTACCTTTGCTTCTCAGGTTATGTTGTTATTTTGTTACTTGTAAGAGATAATTTAAGCAAAAGGAAGTTAAGTAATTTCATTTCAATTACTTTCCTTTAACCCAGTTACTTGCAATTACATTTATTTTCCCCTATTTATTAGTTATAGCTCCATTTTGACCAGTTGCAAAGTCATTAAATATGAGATACCTACAATTTTAATAAACTTAATTACAAATGTTGCAATTTTAAAGGACCAAGAAGTCCCAGGGAATTAAGTGTGCTTTCATAGCTCTAGAATTGAAATACTATTATGGGAATCAGAGTGAATGCAACTTACATAATGATTGAATTCCTGGATGCTGTGGGCTGTGGGATGCAGGACCCAGGTGGTGTTGCTGCATTGCACAAGCTCTCGAAACGCTTAACACTATAACAAGAATTGGCGTTGCAATGCAGCCAAAGCACTTGCCCTCCATGGCCATGGTCCTTTTGCCTAGCTCGTTTTGCTTGACTTCGGTTAGTTATAATATTTCACCGCAAAGGCTGTTGATTAAGTTTAATTTGCACCTTAAATTCTCGGGTTTCGGTTCACATTTACGGCAGCGGTTTGATTAAGGACAGGCTCAATTTGGCTTTTGAAGTGCATTCTGTAAAGAGAGGAGATTGTTTTTATTTAACCAATTATATTTCAAACAGGAACGGCAAGCCGAAGATCATATACCCTTGCAGCTTTTTTTTTTTAAATAAAATATTTTTAAAAGCATTTAAATTTTTATTTATTTGCATATAGGTTTTGAATAAAGTTAAGAGCGTAATTCTTAACTATCAAATTATTGCTATATCAAAAAGAAATTTAAAAAGAAATTTAAAAGCAAAGAGAAGTTAATTATTTTATTTATTAATTTTATTTAATATTTTGTTTGTTTCAATAGGAGCTTAATGATATGGTCGACCGATTTTGATCAAATATAGGGTCGGAGATGTCTCCATTACTCAGTTGCAAACTTCTGACTGAAATTATATTACCCTCTGCAAGGATATCGAAATAATTTCAATTATTTATAGTTATGAAAAGGTATTAGCTTGAATGGATGCTGCTCCTTTTTTGTTGTTGTTTTTGCAATGCACTTAATCATGTTTGCAAAATAATCCGCCTTGGGGAAAATTCAGTGCTGTCAAAATATGAAACTAGATTTAAATAAATATGCTTTTTGACTTAATTTTTCTTCTGTCTTTTTCTGTACTTCCTATTTCTTAAGCCCTTTCGACATCAAAGTTGCTTTAGGGCCATTTGCTCTGTTTGAAGACTTTTGTCTGCTCATTCTTACTGATAACAAAGGCTGAATGTGTCTAGCGAAAACATGAGCTTATAAACATTAATTTAAAGATCATTTGGTGAAGTTGTTCAAAAGAGAAAATTGTGTTATAAAACTAAAGGTGTACCAACAAAAAACTCTAAATTTTGAAATATTAAAATATTAAATAAGCCACATTATAACGATTGAAAAAAAAATTCAAGCTGTGGGGAAAAAGTTGGTGTTCCCTTTAAAACCCTACCTTGAAAATTCTAAAAATTTGGATATAATTTATTTAGGGTCGAATTGAAAACTGTTCGTTGTATCTTAAAAACTTATTATAATTACATTTCTGAACCAAACCAAATACTCAATAAAGAATGCTTGTAAAGAAAGACCTTGGTTTAACATGTTTTCTTTTTGAAATTTAATTTTACATACATAATTTAACATCAGTAAACATTGATATTAACCAATGGCCTTCATAATAAATGTCCCTCATTCGCATCATTTATCCCGTATCAAATTGCTGTCGCATTAAATATATTTTCTGGTTCGGAATTTGTGTTTGTGCTGGTTAAGCCCCCATATAAATTGTGTGTTGGCAAGTTGCTTATCGCCACCATGTCACACGGATGGTATTGTATTCCTGTCCAGTTCCGTAGCCTTATCCAATGCTAACCACTGCATTAATATTTACATCGCAGCCTGCCCGCACTCAAATAGTTTTTTATTGGGCCATGAAACACATAAATTGTGCAGCTGGAAGGTATGCAACGCGCGAGCCTTGATCACTCGCAAATATGTGAAGGCCAAAATCCAATTAAAATGTTAATTTTTACACAAACGACGACATATTGGGCCAGCGAGTTCAGCGCTGTTTTAATTGAAACCCTCCACAAGCGATCCCATAGATATTGTATGTACTAAATACTCGAATCGAATCGAATCGAACCGAATCGAATTGAATCAATTGCGATTCCGATACCCTCTGACACTACAGGTAATCACAGCATTTAATGTTTTTGTGGGCGCTACTGTGTAATGAGCTGTTGGTTGCTGCCAATCAAACAATAGTAGTCAAATTATCATGGAATCAGCTTAAACTGCGTGCTGTAATTGTTATTTTTCATGCCATCGATGGTTAATTGAATTTGGTGGTTTTTACAACGCAAAAGAGACATGCTTTGGGCCATTTGAAATGATTTAATAAAAGTTAACAATAGCTGCATTTATTTTAAACAGGCATTTTTGATATTTACTCAGTCCATTATAAATATACTTATTATATAGTCACTCGAACAAAAGTGAACCTACTTGTCAACGAAAGCGTCTGGCCATTGTCTTCCTCTGTGTACTCAGACATAAATACAAGTTAATTAAACAAACCTCGTTGCACATTAATCACCTGGACACCGGCCAAAAAGCCACAAAAGCACCTGGAGACCACTTGATCTTTAAGAGGAAAATTCAAACAAAAAGGCTCGAAACCAAATTCAATTAGAAGAACACGAAAGGCGGCGAAGTGGTCCAGGAAAACGGTTCGATTTCAATGTTGTTTTTTGAGATTGTCCCCAGACATATGTCTCGTTTAGGGCGTTCTCTATGAGGTTATAAGATTAATGAGAGACAAGCTCATCTACTTCCTTCCTTCAAGCGGCGCTTAATTAATGGCCACAAAAAGGGCACATGCAAAAAGTGCTGCAAGGTCCTTGACCTTTGTCACATACTTTTAAAGCCAGCTGGGTATCCGTCAGTCAAGATTAGCCTTAAATTTTTTTTTGTGAAATTTGGGGAATTAAAGAATGTTTAATAGCTGTCATTGAAAAATTCAAACTATTTAATATAACATATTCAAATTTTTGAAAAATGGCATATATATAATATTACAACTAGTTTAAACTTCTTTAATAAGATAATTGTCACTAAACTATGTGGTGAGTTACTCAAATTATTATTGTTATTTTTAAAGTATTAAAAATAACCTTAAAGTAAACTTTTGAACGTGTTAATTATTTTGTCTTTTCATTCAGCATAGTGAACTTTTAAAAACAATATGTAATTTAAGGCATTTTTAGTTTAAGAACAGTCCTTTATTTCATTAAAGTGAATAGTAAAACAAATTGGTAAATGTAGATAGGAACATATTTGGACAACAGGTTCTATAATTGTAACATTTGACAATGATTAACCATTTGAAAATGCCCCTTTAGGATAATTCATCATACAAATTTGTCAAGGAATCAAGTACAAATAAGCGTATAAGTTTTTAAAAGTTGAAAACTGCACTTACTATTGGCTGCCTGTTGAAGGTTTACTTGACGAAACTTTGACACAACTCGCCTTTGTTTGTTTTGCGGTTCCGGGAATTAATTACCCGACCTCTTTTTATGACACCACAACAAGTCATAAGAAATCCGGGCTCATTTGAAAGTCAATCCATAACACACGTGCTCATTGGGTTCTTTGGTTCTTTGGCTTTGGCTTTGGCTCCTGCCCAGGACTTCAGCGGAAAAACTCGACCGAACTTCAAAAGCAGATAAGGCGTGGGCGAACTTTGAAAAACTTTCAACTTAACATGGAAAAACTTTGATTTGGTGCAAAAAAAAAGACAAACGAACCATTTTTTTTTACAGAGAACTCTTGGTTGTTTATGCAACTGACACGAGTTTCGAATTTGAGCTGAGTTTCCTTAAAAATGTATTTTTATTTCACATTCATTACTATCTACAAGCGAGAAATTTCCAACCTGAGTAAACCTGAGTAACAAATGCATTTTCGATTAGCATTAAATCATGTCGCCCCCGTCTGAGTTCATTTCCGAAGAGAAATAAATGTTTTTCTTTGATTTATCTGTGCTTAGCGGTTGGAGAAATGAAAGTCAAGCTCGCGGAAAAGGTAAAAACTAAGGTTTAATGAAGACGTTGTTCAACTCACTTGGGGTGTGCCACCTCCACTAGTTTAATTTTGTGAACATCCAGGAGCACATTTGAGTCTGTCAGTATTTTATTGGATTTGCATGATTGATGGGGACAATATCATTCACTGGCCGCATAAAGCGGCCTGCAATTGGAAACTTCACTTTTGCCTAAGGGCACATTACTACTACACTGAGCGAAATCGAGCACGACCGATCCTTATCCTTTTCAGTGTCACGCACAAGTGAACATACGGGTTGTACGGGTTTTGAGTGTAATATTCCGCGAGAAACCGCGACACCGCCGTCGAGTGTTTAGCGGCAACTACGGGATATCCTTTCGGTGGCGAAGTTCACACGCTGCGATAAGAACTCGGTCTCGAAGTCGCAGCCGCGCCAAAGGAGCAAACACGTGCGCCGCGACTTGCAATTCAGTTGATACTGCGGCAACCGAGGCCGGAGCTTTTCCGTATTGTTGTTTCCTCCTCGCAGAAGTAACCGTTCCGAGGCGAACCGAGTCCTGCAACCACGAACAGGACGTGCGGCTGGCAACTGGGGTGGCAAACTCCGAAAACGGACGCATTGCGGCGAATTGGTACTAAATCCCTGTATTTGAAGAGGGGCTTAGCTAAAAAGGAGAACATAAAAACCATTATTTTAGCCACTACGGTTTGGTCAACACAGGAGTCGCGAGAATTGTAACGGACAATGAAATAATATTAAAATTTCGATTTATACAAGCTTTCAATGATTCTAAATATTTGAGAAATTCATAGCTAGCTAAATTTTTAAGCCTGATTAACTTTAAACTCTGATTTAAATGTTTAGGAAATTAATTTAAAAACATTAAACCTACCTTTATAGGTTAATGAAAAAAATAAATTGAAAATATATATAAATAACATTTTAAGAAAAGGAAATTAATTTTTAAATTTGTACCGATTTTGTTTTGCACTGCTTGCACTGTGGAAGAATCTGTGAATTTATTACACTGCTTTGGTTTAACTACTTTCACGTCGAAAAAATATCCATCCAAAAAGACGATGTATAAGCCGCTGGCAATATATTGCACTGCTTTGGTTGAACTAAATCCACGAGGTAAAAATATCCTTTCAAGACGACAATTCCCTTTTGGGACATATTCACTGCTCTAAATTAATTCAAAAATGTACTAAAAATAAAGAAGTGCTGGGCACATATAGCACTGCTTTGATTGAACTGATTTCACGTTGTAAAAATATCCCACCAAGACCGGAAGACAAATTTTGGGAAATATCTACTGCTTTCATTTAAATTGACGGTTGATTTTGCACTACTTTACACTGATTACAAAATTATTAGATTTAATTTTAGGTATTTTCAAAAAATGAAAAAACTTCTTCGGCAAGCCGATGATTTAATACATAACATATTAATACATTAACATATTTTCTGTCAATATAAAAAGAAATCATTGAAATACTCATCAATCGCATCATCACAGCAGACACCTGAAGACATGTTTCATTTGTCAGCATCCCTTCTCTTCCAAGATGCCGTAACCTACATTTGAGAACGTAGAGAAGTTGACACTAAAATTTGTATAAGTTTAGCGTATTTTAATATTTCGGTTAAGTTGTGCACGCCAATAAGTAGGCAGCATATTAAAGTCTTAAACAAACAATCATTATTCTATACTTCACTTCTTTCAACTTTATTTTATTTATGCAAAATCGTTTTTCCATTAAATATACAAATGAGATTTTAAATCGAATCAAAAGGATCGCGCTTTAATGCAAATATCTGGGGAGTCTGAAGAAATGCACACACAAAAATAAGAAAACTATGAGTAAAAGTATAAAAAATATTTCAATCTATTGTTTGCCTTCAAAATGCAGTTGGAATTGTTAAGTTCAGTTAACACAATATAGTTAACGTTTCGCGCATCGCCACAAAAAACGCAATTAAATAATTACAATTACAAATTTTTTGATAATGATAGAACTTTTTACAAAACTCTCAAGCCGTTGTAAACAAATTTAAAAATAATATTTTCTCTTCTCGGAGAAAAATGTTTAAACACATGTTGTATACAACAGAAATTTTTTTCGGTTTTTAACTAATTTATCAGTATAGAGGTGTTGAATTTACTAGGTTGTTAGTGTACACTTTCGGCATCCACAAAGATTTGCTCGTATTGCTTTTTCTTAATTAAACTTGACGAGAAGTTGTTGATGAATGTGAATGGCTTCTTGAGTTTCGACTGATAGAACATTTTCCGGTTTTTTTTTTTTTTAACTAATTGCGAAAAATTAGGGCTTCCCTTCACTATTTACTATGACGCGTTTTTGTGTTTGTTTCTGCTGCAGCTGCTGATGATGTTGCTATGTTGCTGTTCGAGAGGTAAGCGTGCCTGACGCTTAGAATCATTTGAGCTTGGCGTATGCGTCGACCTTTTTGTGAAACTGGTTGTAGTACTCCAGGGCGGCGTTACGCGTCTGGTTCAGCGCCTGATTGATGTTCTCGGGCGAGAGACGGCCACTAATGAAGGGTCAAAGGCATTATTGTGGATGCATTCTCGTAGAAATCAAAGCGCCTCGAAACTACTTACACAAGCACCTTTTCCTTGATGAGCGCGGCCGACTTGTCGTAACTGCTCACGGCAAAATCGCTCACGCCCGCAGCAAAGGCTTCGATCTTGCCAGACAAATTGGGCACGTATTGGTCAATCTACAGAAGAGAAACATATTAACAATGGAGTCCGAAAGTAGTACAGAGATTAATTTAAAACTGGTTTTCTTGCATATTCAAACGAAAAAACAAATATGACCTCATCCTCAAGACACTTACGAATTTGGCCACAACGGGCCACTTGGCGCCGAAGTATCCCTTGCCATTCTGGTAGACGTTGCAGGCCGCATTCCTCGCCAGCTTCCACAGGTCACCGGTGGTCTTGATGGCGGGCTCTGCGTACGGCGGCACGTTCACCTCCGCCCACTTGTAGCCGCGGGCTCCGGCGCCCATGACCGTGTACCAGGACTTCTGGACATGCGGCAGCACGCCGGCGTTCTTCAGCACCTTGCCGGTGGCCGACTTCTCGAACACTCCTTTGCCGTTGATCTCGGTGTCGGTGTACAGAGCTCCGGCAATCAAAGCGATGATGAACACGCTGCCCAACGTCCACTTGCAGCAGCCGCATTTCTTTTTCTGTGCCGCAGCATTCTGTTTGTTCTTCTTCTGTTGCGCGCTGCTCTTCTCCTGGACGCTCTTTTGGGAACAAAAATCATAGAAAATCATAGAATTAAAATGGTGTTTAAACTAGGATTATTTTATTTAAAGACATTATTTGATCAAGTCGTCGTTGTGTTTACCTTTTTGGCGGCCGGTGCTGGTTTGCCGCCCTGTTTGTTACTTTTAGGTTTAACCTGAGCCATTTTCTAATTAATTTCACTTAGTTTCGATTAGCAAAGAGTATTTCTAGATTTCCTCGGCTGTTCACAGAAGATGTTGAATTAATTAATGTGTTAATCATTGCAAATTTTGTTTGCTAAAAAGAATGATGAGGCTTTTGCGAGCTTTTAAAGCCAAGCTTTTTTTTTGCGACTGCTACAAAGGTTGCTTGCGAATGGATAAGAGCGCGATGACCAAAGATGCGAGAATACGCTAAGCCGCGAGTGGGGATAATTAAAAGTTTTAAATACATATACATGTACACTCTCAATCGATTTTATCAGATGATCGAAAATAATATTTATATTCCAGCTTATGCGTTGATATTCAATTGGCGTACTTGCTTTAAGTGCATTAAAACTAAACAACCTTAAATCAACGACAGCCATTGTAAAACTTTGAATAATTTAAAGAATCAATTTAGCCACAGTGTTTGTTTGTATTTGTAAAAGTTCCAAAAATATGCAAATACAAGTTTTTTGTGACCCTTAAAATAAGAACCACTAGAAGTATTCATTTTTGCTTTGAGTTCAAGTTCAATATTCCCAATCAATTTGAGTATGAAATTTATCCTATGAATTAAGAAGTTCTCAATTATTTTTTTTATTTAAAATGTTTTTTACTTAATTTAATATCAATTAAAAGATTTTATGGCACATTAATATTTTGCAACAGTTTAATAAGAATAAACTAATATATGAAGGGAAAGCTATTCATGCTTTATTTTTGAAAATGTTAGTTCATCTGAGATTAGATAAAACCAACCACGTTTAAATTGTTGTACGATGTATGGTGTATGGTTTTCAAAGTAAAAGAAAAATTAATTTAAAAATTTAGAAAATGAAGCTTCATCTTAACTTATACAAAGAAAGCCACCTAGCTCACCTACGCTTACAATAATCTAACACATGTACATATGTGTTTCTATGAAGTCAGAAGAGTTGAATGAACTATTGGCTTATGGCCCCTTAGTTTATTCGCTTTTGTGACGGCGAAGTGAAAGAAAGAAAGGCAATGAAAAGCTCTGAAGAGGGCCGGCGAGAATCAGGGTCACAGTGTGGACATGCCACGTGTTGAAGCTGCCTAAATTCTTTTCTTTTCGGACCTTGGGATTCGCAATCGTGGCGTTGGAAGAATTTCAGGTGAGAGCGCCGAACTGCACCACTGTGCAATGAGAGTGAGAGTGCGGAAAGTGGGGTGTGAAGAGTGCGCACAATCAGCAACAGGGTGGAGAGTGGAGAGCGGGCAGCGGGCAGCGGATGGCCAATCGCAGCTGGAACACATCAGGCAATAGGAAAATAAAAAGTGACGCCGCCAGATCATCTAAAATTGGGCGTGCTGATAAGACGGTCGTCGAATGTTGCCTGATAAATGGGATTTATGATGCCCAATCTCTCTTTTCGAAAGCAACACGTCCGCTCGGAGAAATTTAGCGGCAACTGGATCCCGCATGGCAACGCTATGGGGAAAAATGCAGCTATAGTTGCCACCAATACGAAGACAGGGGGACGCACGCATACGCATGCACAACCGTTAATGATGACACGCACACATACAGCAGAAACGCACTTTGCACTGCAACAACAACAACAACAATTTAAGCCCGACAATTAAGGCGCAGGCCATTAAATAATGCTCACTCTCGATGAAAAGCCAGTTAAGTAGGGAGAAATTTCAGGCGAACGCCGGCTAGCTAGCTTTTCCGTCTCTTTCTGGCAGCGACGTCGCGTTGGCAGCGTCCTTTTTTAACTTTTGTTTGATAAGCAGCTAATTGTGTTGGTTTTTCTACCTAAAGCAGCGTTCTATTGTCTTGGCTGCAGTCTAATCAGCCCAATTCATTCTTTTTAGCACCGATTGCAATTAATTATTCACTTTTGGCAGTAAGTTCTACAAATTTATACCTTCGTTTTTCTTTTCACGAGCGGTGTGACCAGACTGACAATAGGAAAAATACGTGAACAGCCATAGACTCATTGGGGTGTGGCCAGATGTTTGATTCAAAGCGCGAAAAGTTCAAGTTCGATTATGATTTGAAAAAAAGTTTGGGTGAATTTGCATTCAACAAAATGTTCGTTTACTTTATTTATTGTCCAAATACTTCTTAAAAGGCTGAGTCATTTTTAATTTGATTAAATTTAATAAGATTGGATTTATTGTCACTGCCTTTATTTTATAGAAAATGTAGTTTAAGTGAAATATTAAAACTGTACTTACCAGCAAAACTTCTTTTAAACCTTCTAAGCTGCTTTCTTTTCGCTTGCTCGCCTGAAGTTCGACGTTAAGATTTTCCACATCTTGCAGAAAAGAGTGATATACAGGCGAGGTAGCCAACTCGTGGGTAGACGTGGTCCAATTGTCGTCTAAAAAGGATTGATCAATATATATGATTTGGGTAAGAAGAGACTTAATAAAGTAATCTGAAATTTAATCAACCAAATTGACCAGGTCCTGACTTACCTATAGCTTTCAGTAGCAATAGACTGGGCAATTGTTGCTTCTTGTAGTTCATGCGCCACACCCGGAGGCAATCATCTCTGCCGCTGCTAAGCAGGCAACTAATACAGCCTTCGATTTCGTTATTCTGCTTGGAGTTTGCGCTTATTTCGCGGAAGAGCGTCAGGAAAATATTGGCATGCTTTACGGGACTATTAATATAGTTTTGCTACAAGTACAGAGAACAAGAGTGACCAAAAATAAGCAAGTTTAAGCAATGCTGGGCCGAACTTACAAGCAACAAACGCGCGCTTCGCTTCAGACTTTGCTGCCACTCCTTGGGCAGGTTGTTGTAAGGCGCGTTCAGGGCGTTGTAGGTGGCAAAGAACTCCTGCTGGTTGAGCTGCAGGGGATCCACCTGCTTCCTAGCAGCTGCCGCCGTCAGAGCCCGCTCCATGTACTCCACCACAAACTTGGTGTACTGCTTCAGCTCCAGATTGGGCAGCATGAGGTTCTGCCACACTCTAACGCCCTCGTTTAGTGACTGATAGCCACCCTGACCAATGGCCCATAGGATGCTCAGGCAGATGTTGCTGCGATTCTGGTAAGAATTCCGCAGTAGCGCAGTCTTGGCCAGGTTCCGGGAGCAAATGCTGGGCCAATTCTGACCGATCAACTGTAGGATCAGCTTGTAACCGGCCACCGTCTGGTTGTTATTCAAATCCGTGGCCATGCTGTCCAGCAGCGAGTAGAAGAAGTATTCCAGGTTCTGCTCGCCCACGCTGCCCAGGAACTCCACAATCGAGTACTTGAGCGAGGCGCTGGCCAAATTGCTGGGATACTGAGCCGAGCGGCCGGAGAAGATGGGATCGCACTCGTAGGACAGGGCTCCATTAAAGTACTGTGCAATCTGAAGAGGAATGATAATGGTTAGCTGGTTCTGTGGGCAATTCTCCTGGGTATCACCTACATGACTCAGCCAACGCAGCTCGGATCCAGGACAACTGAGCTTCACCTGTTCCAGTTGGGCAGCGAAGTCATCCCGCGTGATGTTTCTCAGGGCCTGTTCCAATGTTTTCGGCTTTGCCACCGACGACGATGTGGACTTTTTTGGAACCGTCGAACCAACAGCATTCTTCACTGGGTTCTTCTTTGCTGGCGATTTATTGGTTTTCGAGGAAGACGAAGTACTTGAACTGGATTTCGCAGGGGAGTGGGACTTGTGGTTGTTGTTGCTGCTGGAGCCTAACAAATTGCGATATCGCTGAGCTGGCACTGTGGAGAGGGTTAATGTGGGGGGAACTTGAGATCGCATTGCCAGGTGCACTCTATTTAAAACTCTTACACAGCTCTTCCAATTTGGGTAACTGGGCTGCAATCCGCTTCTGTTCCGTGTGCGCGATCACCTTTTTGTCCAGATTCTTTTGCTTGCGCGACTTGGAGACCACCTCCCATTGCTCCGACATGGTGATTGCTGATCGGATAATTGGTGGAATTAAATTAAATTATCAAATGCAGGCGCCGGCAGAGTAAAGAGCAACAAGCAAGTAAAGCCGATTGAGACAGTGTTGGCAACCGTCTTAAATGTGATGTGGCGGATTAGTGGGAACGTTGCAGGCGGCAGCAGGAATACTAAAACGAATAAAACAACTTCAGAGTGATTGTAAACGAGCTGTCACCCTTCACCCGGCTTTTACTAGTTTTTTAAATGGTTAAAAGTCATATCTTTTAACTGAAAATTAACAGAAACCTCTATGGAAAACAAGTTTAAATTTCAATTACCAGGGCTGCATAATCTTTTTAAATTAAACGCTTATCCAAGTTCTCAACCTTAAGTGGTATTTTTTGGCCAATGCCGCCTTGGTCACATTACACGGTTGTTTACATTCATAAATTGACCGAAAAACTCTATAAATTTATATTTGCTTGCATTTAAAAAGGTTTCAGATTAAAACTCAAGAATGGCTGCCTCGCGCTCCCGGCGCAACAATGCCGGCAACAAAATAGCCCATTTACTAAACGAAGAGGAGGAAGACGACTTTTACAAAACGTCATATGGCGGATTTCAGGACGAAGAAGAGGACAACGAATATGAGTGAGTTGTGAAGAAATTCTAATATATAGAACCACTTTAAATAAACCCTTATTCATCAGACAAAAAGACGAAGAGGAGGATGTGGTGGACTCCGACTTCAGTATCGACGAGCAGGATGAGCTTGTGTCGGATCAGGAAGAGGCGCCCGAAAAGAAGCGGAAACGCGGAGGCGTCAACACAAAGGCATACAAGGTGCGGGTCACTCTCGAAATTCTATTTGGTTAAGGGCATACGGTTTATATAGGTTCAAAAACTTTACAATTTCAATGTTTTGTAAAGTCAAAGGGTATGTTGTTATTGTTGAAAACTATGGATCAGGTTACAGAAATCGCTTCCGATCCTTTAAAGTATACTGTTGATCTCTATTATATGTCCGTATGATCGTCCAGATACCGATAACTATAAGAGCTAAAGAGTTAAGATTTAGCACTAGCCTACACTGCAAATTTGACCAAATTAATGTTGCCGATAGGCAAGATATTTTACCATGATCCGTGTTCACATACAAAATATTTATTTTCCTATATTAAGGTCCTTTAACTGCGCAAATAATCTGGATAGATTTGTAATGCGAGTGTGGCATATAACGGCTATAGTTTTCCGATTTTGATTAAACTGCTGTTTAAAAATAATTATAATTTATAGGGTCGAAACATGGTTACTTTAAGATAATACGCTTGAATCATGCTTTAATGATTTAACTCCTCTAGGAAACCAAGCCGGCGACCAAGAAGGAAACCAAGGCCGTACCCGCCTTGCACAAAAAACGAGGCGGTGGTGGGGTTACGAAGCGTCGGGTCAGGCCCCGATTCACGGTTCTTGACTCCGGCCGCAAATCCATACGCACTTCCACGGCCATCAAGACACAGGCTACCAAAATCCGACTCAAGGAGATGGACGATGCCCGCAAGCGCAAGAAGAAGAAGGTGCGTGTGGAGGACTATATGCCCACTCAGGAGGAGCTGCTGGAGGAGGCCAAAATAACGGAAGAGGAGAACATTAAATCTCTGGGTGGGTATCTAAAGTATCCGCAAAAGCTTTATTAATAAAACTTTCCTTTTCAACTGGCAGAAAAGTTTCAGAAAATGGAGCTGGAAAAGAAGAAATCGCGACCCACCAAGCGCACGTTTACAGGGCCCACGATACGATATCATTCACTGACCATGCCCGCTATGCGAAAGCCCACTCGAGGAGCCAATCTTCTTGTCGATTCAAAGGATACCGCCGGAAAGTGTGAGCGGACATTCGTCACAGTAGAGAACGATTTCAATGACAAGGTGTTCCAGAACATCTTCCGCCACAAGCCGGCGCCCAAAGTCAGCAATGGCATCTGTCCGATCACCAGACTGCCAGCCCGTTACTTCGATCCGGTCACCCAGCAGCCGTACTACAGTATCCAGGCCTTCAAGATCCTGCGCGAGGCCTACTACATGCAGCTGGAGCAGCAGGGCGGCAGCAGTGACCAGCCCGAGTTGGCCAAGTGGCTGGAATGGCGCAAACTGGTCAAGGAGAATCGCCTCAAGGTTTCAGCAGCTGCCAGCAAAAACGGGGACCAGAACTAAAAGTGGTACCAATTTAATAGTTTATAAAGTTATATATATATACCGAATAAAAAATGGAAGCACAAGGAAAACACAACAACTCGACCATTTGATATCTTAACAGGTTTATCTTTAAGTAATTACAAGCAATTTTTATGCAGTTGTAACAAATATGAATATGTTATAAATATTTGTTAGTCAGCCATTGAAACCGTCAAGCAATTTTTACTTAGCACATTTTTTAAAATATATTTATGTAAGTACTAATAAGTAAGGGCTGAGTACACAGGGTTTTCCCACAAATTAATCTTCAAAAAGTTATTTATAATCAAGGCATAGTCTGTTTTGTTGGAAGTGTAAGAACCTAAAAACAATGTACTATTATCAGCAGCATCCGGTTTGTTGACTTAGCAAGATGATGACAACGTTTACCTAAAAGAATATTTACCCTTCTCATCCAATTTATAAAAAACCTATTTATGGAGTTTCTATATTTTGGCTTATTAATTGTATTTAAACTTTCAAGTTCCCTATTTAATGTATTGTTTTCATTAATTTCTATCAAATGGTCAAGTTGATAAGCACACACAGCCATTGTCTATTAAATAACAAAAATCTAGAGGAAATGCGGTTGTTCCGACTCGGAATAGCTTTGTATGAATGTATATAATTCTCAGTTCTTGCATCATCTTGACACTTAAAGAAATAGGTTTATATAGTATATTATATTTGATGTATTCTTTATCTTTAATTAGTCACAAAACAGCCTTTTTAAAATTTCTATAGATAATACTATTAAAGGCAATATCTTCATTTTCCATTCCGACAAAAAACTATATATATAAAAATCTTGAAGGGAATTAGTTTAGTGGACGCAACCTTGTCGGAGATGTACATATGTACATTCTGTCTACTTATCAAAAAAAACAACGCACGAGCTTGTTATTTGGATTGTCTGAACGGACAAGGTATTTTCATGTCTAAGATTTAGTCAAACCCGTGAGCTCAGATTGTAAAGAACAACAGGCGGCTAACTTGAAAGATGAGGAACTGGGCTGCGATTGGAGTCCTCCTGGTACTGGGATGCCAGTGCGCCGGAATTGTCCGGGCGGACAGTGATAGTGATAGCGACAGCAGCAGCAGCGGGGAGCGCAAGAGCAAGCCCAAATCAATTGAGCACAAGTACAACAATCCCGCCTATCCCACTCCCTATGGCTATGGCTATCCCTACCAACCATATGGCTACAATCAGATGCCGCCGTATCCGTATCCCCAACCAATACCAATGCCTGACTACTACAGTCCATATAGAAATGCAAGGCCACCACCACCGCCACCGCTAATGTATCCAGCTTATCAAGCAGCCTATCCACCTCAGACGGGAGGAGGATGGAACGCCAACCCACCCACCAATCAGGTTCAGCCACAGCAACCTTCTCCCGGACAAGGATCAGGTCCTTCCGCACCGTATCCTCCAGGTGGTTCCAGCGTAATCAATCACTCGCTTAAGGTCAACAAGGAATACAACGAGGATGGTCACCACTCAAACACAACATAGTCGAGAAACTTAATTAAAAGCTAAATCTAAATCATTTTCAGAGTCTTATCAGTTTCAAAACCACGTTCAATACAAATTACATACAAAATTAAATTATTGTTTTTCTTTTATGGAGTGTTTGTCACATTATAAGATTAAAATATCTTATATTTCAAGGCAAAGTTATCAACAGTTATAAAGTTATGAATCATACAAACTATTTTCTTACAAAAAAAATTGTTTAATTAACAAAAATAATAGTGTAATGTATAATGCAATAAACATCACTTAAACAATCTCATGATATTTTGAATATATTGATGAGAGTTTGGCAAATATAAAATATTTGAAAATTTTAAAGGAATTTAACAACAAGATTAGTTATCAATTCTGATTTCATATCAGCACAATGTATGCGTGTTTTGTCTCCCAAACATCAAGTGGGATTGTTTATATCAAGTGTATGTAAACATATCACATATCATGGTATAATATAAAACAAACTAAAATGCATGTAAATATATATGTATAAATGAACTTTTCAGGCACTTGAAGGATCCACCACGGTGCTGTGACTGTACAGATGTACGTGGTAGGCGTAGCTGTTCATACATTTCTGGATGCTCAGTAGTAGGGGCTCGTAGGGATGCCAAATGAAGGCGCACAGCTCCCGCGGTGCCAGTGGATTGTTGTGCCTGCGTGCGGTGGCGTGCAGTCTAAACTTGATTGACTGCGTGGCGCGATCCCGAAAGACAATGGGCTCGGCGGAGCAGGGATTGGGTCGCTCCAGAGGCGATACGTGGCGATCGTCAAAGCTGAATTCGTTAAACCTTAGATAAGGTGAAGGCGAAAGACTCTGGGAGCTGACGGGCACGCTGGGATTAAAGCGCAATGCCGCATGTCGCACGAAGGGAATCGACTCGTTGGCATCCACAAAGTTTTGCTTCAGAATGAAGTGCAGCGGTAATGAGGGCGCATCTCCGGTTTGCAGCGATCGCACGTTGCTCATCTCGTCGTAGAATTGCAGAATGATTTGAAGCAGGTCGACGGAGTAATCTGGATACACGCCCACCACTTCTTCGCCAGATATCGTATAGAAAACATATAAGCGGCGGGGTGTTCCTGTCATGGGCATCGTTTCGCTGTCTTTTGGTCGTTCTTCATAGCGCAACAGGAGGAGTTCCTTGTTCACCAGTTGCATCCTCTCCATAATCATGTGTTCCACCTTAAAAGAGTAAAATATTTATTTATAATTACCAAGTTACTTTTTAACCGAATTAGAAGTTTCTTATTTATAGTTTCTATAGTCTTTATGGTATGTGCGATTTAAAACAAAAAAATGTTTTTGTTGTGCTTTTATAAATAGTAGAGTACTTCTTTAACTTTAAATTCTGATTATAATCAGAAATATCCAGACAATTTTCGGAAGAATTGGTTTAAAACATTCTTATTTAATTATTAAAAAGGTAAATCGGGCACCGATAAGGACACATTTGAAAATTCCACTTACGAACTCAAAGTTTTTGTAAAACTCTCGACGTTTTTCCTGAACTGCAGGGGATTCGGGATCAATTTGGCGATACAGGAAGCTCAGAACACGCTGCTTAATGTGCGTAATGGGCAGAACTGTAGTCGCGTCCAGGTTGTCAAAATCGGAGCGAGCCTTTTCGATGAAGTCCCGCGGCCGGGGACCAACGGTCTCTTGCACGTGGAGCTTGCCCTCCGTCACCCCGTAGACGTAGATGCACTGATGCAGCCGCGACATGATCGCCACCGTGGAGCCAAAGACCGAAATACCGTGATTGTGGGCAATCACAATGGAGTCGTGCGGCAGGAAAAGACTATCGCTGACCACGCCAAGTTTCAGGTCCACCACGAAGAAGACATACGAGAAGACTTCCAGTTTGTCGAACAGATCCGGATAGCGCACATAGTCATCGATGGGCAGGGCGCCGCGCAGGACGGACATGGCCGCCAGCAGGACGTAACGGCCCTCCTCCAGGAAAATGCTGAACTCCCGATGCAGATAGTAGAGGCTATAGTCGCCCTGGCACAGGCGCAGAGTCAGTGCCTCCTTGGTGGCGAACAGACGCTCGAAGATCGTGCTCTTGAGCGTGCTGCCCGGGCTGCTGAAGCACTCGCCAGTGCCCACGTCCGCCCGACGGATCAGTTCGCCCACCGACGCGCATCCCCTGTAGCGGTAGATGTGCAGGCTGCGCTGATCCTGCGAGAAGGCCAGGAGTTTGCTGCCGTCCGGCGTGAACTTGCGCAGATAGACCGGCGGAATCGTCACCGTGTCAATGGTCAGGCAGGGCGTGATGCACTTGTAGAAGGGGCGCTCGTAGAACAGCCGGGGCATCCTGCCCAGCTGGTTGCCCGCGCATGTGTAGCCGGATTCGCGGTTCTGCAGCAGGTGCACGAGGTTCTGCGATCGGAGGCGCCGCTCGTAGGCCATTCTGGCTGACCATGGAGGACCGCTTTATGTCCCTGCAAAACCGGCTCAAACCTTTTAGCCTTCTCCTCGAAAATTAGTTTCCTTTCCGATCGCAACTGTTAAAAATCGTGTTTTAGTGTGACCGTAGCTAGATTGCCAATATATATTTCACTAGCGCTATGAACGTTACATTTCAGTGAATGTTTTATTTTAATTAGGCACTTAATATATTTAAAAAAAAAAAAAGATTAAGATTTAAAAAAAAATTTACCACTCATATTTGTTCATTAAAGATTAAAAATTAAAGATTATATGCACCACTTTCAGGTACATAAAAGTATAAAAACAAGTCCGCTATACAATTTTCGAACCGCTAGATTAGTTTTTAAACGATTTTAAAACTAATTTTGTCTTTGGTATGCTTATGCTGCTTTGGTTTTTTGCGATTGTAAAACATTCTTTTTTAAACTTTCAAATCAGATATGTGTTTAAAAAAGTAAAACTATTTCAATCTCCAAATTTAATAAAATATAAGGGAAACTGTAAAAATATTTGAATTCCATGAGATTGGAGCTAGATCATTAAATGAATTTCATAAAATATTTTTCTAAAAAAATGCCTTTACTTCGTCAATGTATTACCTTTTTAAAATATCCCTGTTTCTGTCATTCACAGCGGTTTTTATAAGAAATAATTTTCTTTTCGAATAGAACTTACCAATTTAAAAAGATTAATTCTTAAACCACGTAAGCAGTTAAAAATATTTCTTTAAACATACAAAAAAATAAAAGTTTATCTTCTTAAATTCTAAACTTTTGTTATCCGTTTAATTTTGTTTTTCTTAACATTCACTCAGATAATCCTAACCTTGGGTAGGAAAACGTCCAATTTTAGTGATTTTAATCCAGATTTTGTTGTGCAAGATTGTTTTTTCCAAAATTTTCGGATTTTTCAGTTACTTTTTCACTTTATTCAGTGTCGAAATGTTCGCAGACATATAAATACACATCTGATTTAAGATTACGATTTCCATTCCAGTGACTATAGTAAGACTAAACGTTGTAGCCCACAATGTGGCGTTTGCCGATGCACTCGCCGATGTAGAACCAGAAGATGACCTCGGCGGTCACCAGGGTGTTAAGCCAGGCCTCGCGAACGGTGAGGTTCTTGTAGGCGCCGGTCTTGGCTCCCTTGATAATGTTGCCAAGGCCCTGGCGGATGGCCGGGATATCGGCGGGCGTCGGGGGCGTCAGCTCCACCTTGGCGTACTTCAGGAACACATCCAACTGTGGTCGCGCCTGAGTAAGGAGCCCTGCAAAAATGATCATTACATAATTTTGCGATTGGTAGCACTGTTAGCGGAACACAAAACTGGGCGCTTTCAAATCTCGTCACTTACTGTTCACAAGTCCTGATCCCTTAGTAGCCAAACTCGCCATTTTTTAATTTGGTTCTACAAGAGTTGGAATTATACAAGATGAAATTAAGCGAAATGTGTGGAAAACCTTACCTATTCAATGTGCGACGAAACAGAGATGTTATGGATCTAGACCAGGGCTGGAGGAGCACTTATCGATTGGCGGACGTAAGCTATAAAATACCAAAACTAATTTAGTGCCAGGTAATTTAATTTAATCATTTCTATAAGCAATTTTCAAAAGCTGTAATTCTAACGGAAGTTTAAACGAAATCAGCTTACCAAAAACTTAATAAGAACCCAATTACAATTTAAAATACTTTTCATCCACTTAGTGGGTGGTATATTATTTTAGGGGCCTATTCGTTTTAACGGAGCCCTGGGGTATTTTCAAAAGGCAGAGCGGCGGTCACACTGCAAAGGTGTGGAAATCTTGGTTTCCACAAAACGAGCAAATATTTGCATTTTTCAAGCCCCAAATTGGCTAATTAGAGTTTTCATTGGATTGAATTTGATACCGAACCCCCGAAACGGAAGTGGCTGTTTAATGTTTGTTGTGGTGCATGCTGCGAAGCGAAAAGTGTGACGGGCGGTGAGTGTGCGTTTGCGATGTGATAGGTGTGAATGTGAGCTGAGCCGAGCTGGTCGAGTGTTTTAAATCGAAGTCACAACCATGCAACACTGCGAATAGAAAGTGCCTGCACAGAGAGATGTGTGTATTGTTGCGATTTAGTGCAAACGTTCCAGTGCGAAAATCGCGTAAAGTCGCCCCAAAAGTCATATACTCACACGCGTGTGTGTCTGTGTGTGTGTGTGTGTGTGTGTGTGTGCGTGACCGTCTAATTTGCGTTGGTGGGAGGCCCAAAGATATACGTATACAAACGTACAGTGGTGCCCACGTAAAGCCTTCAGGTCGGAGCCCCCAGATAATGCCACCAAAAGGGGCGCATTATCGACTAATCTCGCCGCGACCGTGAATGCATCTTGCGGGGGTGGGTGACTTGGACGTTACGCTCTTATCACCGCACTGTGAATACCATTTCCGTGGGGTGTGGTCCAGATCCAGACGTCAAAATCACCAAGTCGCGCATATCACAAAATAATTGAAAAACCAACTCGGTGATTGTGAAGAAAAAATCACAAGCGATAAAATATGGCAGCCCACAAAACTTTGACACTTGAACTATTGCAGAAAACATATCAACACCTAATCAATATCCAATGAGCTAAACAAAAATTTCTTGTTTATGGTTTGGTGAAATGGTGACACATTTTTAAACCATCGCGCCGTTTCTTTTCTTAAATTAATAAAAAAAAAAATAATATACTAGTTTTTTTTTTGCTATTACTTTGTTGTTTGCAAGTATAGCTAAGTTTTCTAATTCAAAACAATCTTCCTTAAAAATAAGCTGATAAGAATTACAAAATCCAACTTATTTGTGTAAAAATTAATTTTGTAAAAATATTGTAAACAAACTCAAGTTAAGATCAGTGTACTTTCAGTGAAAGTCAAGCTTTTAAACTTAATAAAACTACTAAGTTTAATAAAGTTTTTTTAATATAGAAATATCCGAAGAAAAAAAGTACCAGCCATTTGAATTTGATTAATCGGACACTCTTGAATATTTGACTAATTGACATTTTGTGTTTCAGTCGATGAGGACGCGATAATTCACGGGTGTGTCAAGTTGGAGATAATTGTCAATTGCGCCCCAACATGCCGCTGCCAAAGCGATCGATAGAGCCCGTGCATGTGGCCCGCTCCGTCTACCAGCAGGATGAGCTGCAGTCCGTGGAGCTGGAGACCGTGACCAACACCACGCTGACGAACATCATCCGCCAGCTGTCGTCGCTGTCCAAGCACGCCGAGGATGTGTTCGGGGAACTGGCCCGGGATGTGGGCAATATCGGGGATCGGGCCAACTCGCTGCAGGCGCGCATCGATCGGCTGGCCATCAAGGTGACCCAGCTGGACAGCACCGTGGAGGAGGTGCCCCTCACGGACATCACCCGCAAGAAAGCCTTCAAGTCGGCCAAGGTGTTCGATCAGCAGATCTTCTCCCGCGCCACCATGCCGGCGCCCATGATGGACACATACGCTCAGTGCGACAAGCCGCCGCCGCTGGACAAGCTCAATGTGTACAGGGACGATGGCAAGGATGGACTCAAGTTCTACACGGATCCCAACTACTTCTTCGAGCTGTGGCGCCAGGAGATGTTGAAGGACACCGAGCGTGTGATGCACGACAAGGGCAAGAAACTGAACAGACCGCGACAGGAGGGAGGAGCCGGCGGTGCCGCTGGACGCGGTAACAAAAAGCAGAAGACTAAGATAAGGGTGCCACATAATACGCGAGAGCAGCAGCGACAACGTGCCCTGGTGCACGGCGAGACTTTGATGCCCAACAACGTCATCTATCGCACTCCGAACTCCATGGTCAACGAGGAAGCCGGATACGGAAGTAAGTACTCGGCAAGGCGGAGTTGCTAGTGGAAGAGCTAAGTACTCAGTGCGAACCAAATTAGTAGGCTACCATTGGAACGTTTGATCCACGCACTGAATATTTGCACTTGTCTTGGATGGAATATTTTAATTATCAATTATGTCCTGTCTGCCCGTGTAGTTCAGCTAGTCAAAATACAGACTGTGAGCGAGGTTGACATCGATTTGCGGCAAAGCACTCTCGATGCGCACCACCAAGTTGTCGGTAATATCCAAGACGTAGGTACGATGATGGGGCCACGTAGCTTTTATTTGCGCCCGGCTGACATCCCACGATACAGATGTTTCCGCCATTCATTCACTTACTTCACTCGCTAGTTTTCGATACGCCTCAGAACCCAGATCGAGGATCACTAATACGTATTTTTTTGCAGTTGCTGTTAACTAGAATTAACCCAAATAATCACGACCCAAAAAAAGGGATCGAAACGAGCTTCCAATTATCATATCTCTCTTATTATCAACATTTTTAACCCAAAGTCGCAGCCAAAAGTTTCGAATGCTGTTTTTAAAAGTGTTTGCAAGGCAGCCATAAAATGCTTCCCATAATTTTATTATCATTTTGATTTATTACCCAAATTGTATGGATACGAAATTGTGATATAAAACTAAAATTAGATACTTAAATTAATACCACTTGACTTTCGATATAGGAAAATATATACTTTTCCCTTCGACTTGAACTCTGAGTGTCCTACTCCTCTAAATCCATAGGCCCTTAAAGTGATGTAAATTCGGTTAAATTTACATTAAACTTCATAATCCCAACCGCCGACTGTTTTTCACCGCTTTCGTTTATTTGCATGTTGGTTTGTTTAAACTCTTTGGTTATTCTTTGATAAGATTAAGTGAAAGTAATTAGACCTTTAATTGTGTATGAATCAATCGCGCATAATCATCTCATTTACAGATACTATAAAGCCTTATAATATGCTTTCACATTTGGAGAATAACAGTAATGTCACCAAGCAAACCGCCGTTGCGATTGCAGGTTAGACATCCACACACCCTTAAGCTCAGTAAAGACTATAAGTGTTCTTTCACACGCTTCTATCCTTTTACCTTACTAGCAATCCTTTTTGATTTTATTAGCATATGTGTGTACACTGTACAGATAATACTCTTGAACTATCAATCGAAGTTGCGATGATTTAATGAGTTGTATGTTTGTGCAAAACATAATTATTATCTCAAAACACTGTAAAACTAGACCTGTTGACTTGTAATTAATTAATGCCTCTGCACATTACAGTCATTGTGTCTTGCACAATGTTTAAATTCATTTCATACTCGTGATTTTTGATTGAGCAGACGTTTTTGTTTAGGATCCACCTTTCTTTCTGTTGTAGTTGAGTCAATTTCCACATCTACGTCTACATGTCACTCTGCAGCTTTACTAATTCCTTTCTGTCGCCACATCTTATTCTATGATAGTTTCTCTAAATTGTTTTCTGTGCAAAAAGAGCTTACAAAGACTGTGAATCGGTAATGAAAATGTACTAAAAATTTTGTATTCTCCTCCAGCCGAGAGTCTCATCTGCACAGGAATTCTGAATTGCTTGTAATTACATGTCTTAATGTTCCTCAAGTGTAATTACACAATAATTGGCGTGTTCTGAAATGAGATGTGTGTCGTCCTGTACAAACAATGCTTGCAGTGTCCTATAATCCCTGGCTCTAATGTATCCCAATCATTTTTCTAGATATGGGAGTCTACGAGACGCGTCCGCCTCGTCCCAACTCGATCGAATTGCGCCGCAGCTACCAGTCCGAGCAGATCGATGGTAGCACCTACGAGCAGCTTCCCCCACAGATGGGCAACCAGTATGCGGCCACATTCGGCAACGGGATGGGTGGCCCCCAGCAGCAGCAGCAGCAGATGCACATGCAGCATCAGCAGATGTACGATGCCGGGCTGTATCAGTCGCACGCCCTCTACGGGCAGACGGGCCAGGGTGTCATGTCGCCGGAACCCATCTACGGTCCGGGCACACCGTCACGCACCAAGCCGCGTCCCTCGCAGCCGCCACCGGCTCCGCCGTCGAATGGCAGCGGTGGCGGTACGCCGACAGCCTCGAATGCCAACACTCCGACCCGGGGCAGAAGTATGTCGACCAGTCGGGATGCCTTGCCACCGCCACCGCCAGTTCCAGACGTCATTTCACCAATGTCCGGCATGAACGGCGCCAACAGTGGCCACATGGCGGCCAAGCTGCTGGGCCGAGCGAACAGTTCGTCGGGAGCTGGTTCTCCGCAGATGACACCGAACAGCGTCCAGAATGCCAATGATATGGTCATGACGCAGCTGAACAACACTTTCCACAGCATGGCCATGGGTATGGCCGGCAATCAACTGAACTCCCTCAGCGATTTGCCGCCACCACCGCCAGTGCCGGATCAGGTATGCCCCACTGTTCTGTTTTGTTTAAAATGCGTTTCGTTCAACGCCATTCCTTGCAGCACTCGCCCAAGATGTCGCCACCCAATGCCGCTCCCCCGCCGCCGCCTCCACCGCCACCTGTGGAGGAGGGCATGGGCAGTGGCAACCAGCACACGCTGCGCCCGCACCAAATTCTGCCCAAGTCGCTGGCCAATGGCGAAATGCAACCTGGCCAGCAAAATGGTGTGCCGCACATTGTTGCACCTAAAAAGATGGTGGCTCCATTCCATGACCCACGCAACGATTTGATGAAGGCTATCCGTGATGGTGAGTTGAACATGACCAGGCATTACTCATTTGTTGTAGTTTTGATATCCCACTCCTCAGAAGATTAAAAAAATAATTAAGTTCCCCAGTTACAATGGGCTATTTCAGACATTTTTAAAGAAATTATTGAAAAGTACATCGTTAAATGCATCCTAGTGATTTATTTATTACAAATATTAGTTAACTAAGGTAAAAAGAACAGCTAAATAATTTTCCCCTTCTTTGATTTGGATTTTCTGTTACCAAAATTGTGGTAGACTGGAAAATTTTAAGCATATAATATCTTAAGATTAAGTAAAAAAAAACATATTAACTAGTATTTAGTGAAAAGAATTATACAAATTTTAATTTAATATTACTTTATGCAAATTTTAAAAATTAAGAAAGGACTTAAAATATTAAAGAAAATAGATCTGTATACCTAAAAAAATGAATAGATGTAGGTGGGTGGGTATCCTTTTAGGTAATACACCTCATCCTCTTTTTAAGACTGTATTTCCTAGATCCCTTAGGACCTAGTAATGTAAAATAAAAAAAATAGTAAAACTAAGGATATCCTTTCACTTCCAAGATACAGAAAACCACCTGGATTTGAAAATGTGAATTTCTAAAATCTTTAACTCCAGTACTTCAAAAATAAAATAAACTTTAAGAACCCTTTTGATTGCCTGAGTTAAATACTCTTTATTTTATTCTCAACAAACTATTTTGTTTCAGGTATTACTCTACGCAAGGTTGAAAAGTCAGAGCAGAAAGAAATTGAGCGCAATGCGGCGCCGCTGGACGTGGCTTCAATCTTGGCCAGACGTGTGGCTATCGAACTATCCGAGTCGGAAGATTCTGATAGTGAAGACGACAGCGAGGGCTGGATTGAACCGAACGAAACATCGGCTTGATCCCTGATTAACTCGTTAAAGCCTGACATAATTCTAAAAAACAAAAAGAAAAAGTAATTCCAAAGAGAATTAATCCATACGATGGTCTTAACCAAGCGTGGTATACAATTGGATTACACAAAAGCACCAAAGCTTTTCTACCACCCTTTATACAATATACACCGAATCCTAAATAATATATCCAAAATCAAAACTTTAATATAATTGTATATACACCAACGAATAATTATCGTTAAAGTAATCGCTATAGCAAACGCATTTGAAATTTAAGCCTAGACGATAATCGAGGAGAGATTTAAACACTTGGCTGTTTTGTCGCTTCTTTTGGAGTCAAGGTCTTAATCATAATCTAATAAATCTAATCTGTATTATAGAAGTCGGTGTTTGGATATTAAATTATTAATAATCGATATTATCACTGAACTCAATCCTATCCCAATTTGCAATCGATACGATTAATATGAAACATTTATCCAAATTGATAATTTAGAATTTTGTAAATACAACAAATACATTAAATATCGAACTCCGTAGCATTTCAATATACTCAACAAGCTATGAATTTGTATTATCCTTGTGTACAATTAGGAACGTATGTTTCACGAATATAAGCAGCCATGACTTGGGTGGTTTAAGCAAACGATCATGGATGTATGTAATTTTTCTTTATAAAAAGTAAAACATATAATATAAATAAAGTAATTATACTCCAAATAAAAACAAATTGCTTTCCGTGGTGTTGTATATTTTCTTTTTATTGTTTGTTTAGAAATATAACAGGTTTTATTTTGTTTAAGCTTTAATACCAGACATTGTATAAGTCAAATGTATTTTAGTAAGCAGAAAGTGTTATTAAATAGGTTGTCTACCCAAAGGTATTTCGAATAAATTTTTGTGCAAAATTAGAAACTTTTATACGTAAAAAAAATAAGATAATATTCGTAAAACAAAAAAGGCTAGTTTCTTTCACTGCCTGTTCGGGCTCAACTCTAGAACTTAGGTATACATATTTATAGATAATAAAATTTCTTTTCAAGTGCATTCTGTGGAATGGCGTGCAAGTTTGTGCCCACAAGGGTAGCAAGTTTCTTGGCATACTGGCAAACGGCCGGCACACGTGTGGTGCCCGACCAGTTGTAGTACAAATGGCACATCTTGTAGGTGAGCTTCTGCATTTTGTCCGGACTGATGCCCATGCTGCTATAAACCACGTTGTAGCTGGTCGGCGACACTGTACCCTGACGCACTTGCTGCGAGACCAGATAAAAGTCATAACGCTCTGGTAGAGTTATAACGTCATCGACTACAGTTCCCGGTGGGGGGTTGCCTCCGTTGGCGAAGAAACGCGCATTCATCGACTTGGTGACCACAATGTAGGCCAACTGCGGTGGATCAGCACCGACCCGCTTGTATTCAGCGTCCAGTTTCTCCACAATATCCTTTACTTCATACTCGAATAGCTGCTTTAGCGAGCCGGAGCTTACGCCGTCCCGATAAAACACTATACGCGTTGGCAACTTCTTATGCTCCCGCGAATACTGGCGCAGTGCCTTGGCCATCATTGGCCACAGGGTGTTGGACATCACATCAAAGGCACTGCACTCCGAGACAGTGCTGAAGTACGTGGAGTTCTGCTGAAGATCCATGGAGGCGACCAAGGCTCCGTAAGCCCTCTTGCGATCACGTGTGCTCTTCGCAATGTCAAAACCAATGGTCATCAAGCCCGACAATGGCAACTCGATCATCCAGGGAGTGTATCCCAACTTGCAATTCAATTGGATTGCTATCTTGGTGGCAATGCTCATGAGGCCACGATTCTTAGCTGTCTTAATAGTGACCACTTGGGTTGGCACAGCTCTATCAATATATCCTCTCTTTTTAATCGCCGAGTATCTGAAATATTATTAAAAAGAAATCTATTTTTATAAGTTATAAGATAAGTATGTAAGAAGTCAACTTTAAATACTCAATAAAATTTTTTTTTAGTTTGATAAGCATTTAAAGATGAGGAGTGGGTGCTACTATTATTTAGATAACCGCAATAAAGTATTTTTTAAAGACTTTCTAGTACACAAATCAGAACCGACAGGATCCGGATAATGATTTCATATAGCTGCCACAGGAACAAATGAATAATAAAAGTAAAATTAAGAAAGAACCATTAGGTCCGAAATAAATGTCAATATTTAAAACGAGAATAAAAACCTTTCAACGTTGTTATTAGGAACAAGGCATAAGATAAGTTTGGGATCCATGCGAACACAATCATCCATAGCTCGCACATAAGTTCCCGTTCGATCGTCATAAATTTTGACTCTGTAATTGAAATAACAAAGTAAAAATTTAAATCAATAAAATAAAAATTACACCGGTTCACAAATTGGACACCTTGATTAAAAAAAAGTGACACTTAACAATTTTTTTTTTAAATAAGCTATCGATGACCGAAATCGTTTAAGCAGAACTGTAGATAAAAAATAAAGTACGTATGAAAACAGTTAAAAAACATTTTTTACGCTTTTATGAAAATGCTCAATAAAACAAATTTTCAGTGTCATTTTTGAATCAGCGAGTCAATATGCAAAAAAACATTAAGGTTTGATGCCTGGAGGATTTTGTAGATTTAAATTTGTAAGCCAGTCTTATATGCACCCTAAACCCCGCTTTACGTCTACGTTCGTTAAGAGAATGCTGTGCACCCGTAAAGCGAAGTATGGGTTTTTCGATAGCCTACTCATGAGGGCTCCTAAATTTAAGACCCATTCCATTAGCAGCCCTAAACAAATTATCCAACAGAGTTTTAAGCTCGTAAGAGTTTCTCTCTGGTGCGATTATAGCCCAGCGATCGATGCCATCGCTGGGAGTGGTGAGCATCTTTTGGTCTCGGAAGCTTCTTGTCCAATCAGCGGTTTCACCAGCTGGAACCCTGAAAACATTATTAAGTTAAAATATGCTAAGTTGATATTGTTTTCAACTCACTTTCCGTGGTGGAACACAATCTTTTGCTGTTCAATTATGCGACCTTGTACCTCGGTAAGGTTCTGGTCAAGATCCATGTGCCAGTCTCGCAAAACTTTAACACTCTCTGGAGTGGAGTGCAAGCGACGGTTGAAACTGCGCAATCGGTCAATGCGTCGATTGGGATTCATCCGTGTGTACTCACTCATGGATCGCATTAACCTGTTAACAAATTATACAGTTGCAGATAAACAATTACGTATATTTTTCAACAATAAAAACTCAGTCCCCAATACTAGTATTTATTCTTATTACTTTAGAAATCAGCTTCAAAAGGTTGTCAGTTTATCTTTGGATTTCCTACGCACTGCCAGTTTCTCTTAAACTTTTGCCACGCGCACACAAATCTAGCATCTATAATAATATCTTGAGCCCACAAAAGATCCCTTAATGTATGATTACAACTAGTTCTTACTGGAAGTTTGAGCGCATGTTATCATTGAGCCCTGTCACTCGGCAAAGCTCGGGAATAAGAACCACCAATTCACTGGCATTAGTTTTCTGAGCCTTGTCCCTATTTTTGGATATCAACAGAGGCTGATTATGGTCCCGTATGCGAATGTTATATTTCTGAAAGAAAAGCATAAGGTAACAAGAAGGCAGTGATATTTGTGGAAGACTTACAGTCTGATAGTACTCCACAAAACTGATGTCCCTCCCCTTGCAACTGAATGTTGACTTTGGAGTTTGTCCAAAGTCTACATCATTGATACGGTAAGTTTTGTTATTGTAATCTGTGAGAACAATTAGGTCCAAAACATTCAAACGAAATTCGTCCTGGTGCCTGGATGGATTTTGTGAACAACGACGCAGTATGTCATAGACTGTTTCCGTTCTCATAACCTTATGAGCTATTTCGGTGCACAATAGAATGTCTTTTTCATGTTGGCGAATTGAAGTTTCATAGCCCGGCCAAAGTTCCAATTTGTGTTCTCTTATTTCGATCTAAAGTTAAAAATAAACTATTACCAAGACTCAAGAAATAAATGTGGTGATAGATGTTACCTTAGCATGGGGATCGAAAAAATTGCGACCGACCAATTCTAGTTTTAAGCCCTTCATGGATCGGCGCAAAATGAGATTTAGAACCTGCAAAAAGCGGGGCTCCGCAGTCGATATAAATCCAACACACTTGATCCTTATTGTGTAGTCAATGTCCAGTCTCGACTTTCCACGCAGCACGGTCAGTTCCTGCTCGAATTTCCGAGTGGTGAACAGTTGCAAACCGTCAAAAAGGTAACCAGATCCCAAGACGTTGGCGTGTTCCGACAAGATTCCCATCCGGACCCGTGGATTCTCGATGCTCGGCTCGAATTCCACACAGTAGTGAACTATACGCCACTCCGGCTTAGTATTCAGGCGGAAAAAGTTCGTTTGCAGCCTAATTGGCCTGCCATCCTTTCCCAATTTGGACACCAATTCAGCCGGACGGGTAGCCACCATGTCGAAGCGATCACCCCTTGGTCGACGGTCTGTCGAACCACTTTCATCACGTCTTTCTTGCCTGGTAGCTCCAGCCGGTGCCTGGCTACCTCCGACTCGTTCTCGATCACTTGGAGCGCCACTGCGTTCGACACGGGGATCGGATCTCGAAGCCCCTGCACGGGAATCAGAATTTGAGGGCTGTGCACGAGGATCCGATCTCGATCCACCCGAAGAAGAGTCTTTGAATATTTTGCTCCTCTGCATACAAATTGAAATTAATTAAAAAATAGTGACTTAATAAAAAAATAAAACTTTGGAGTCACATATGGCACATACAAACAGCTGCGGTCAAAGTAATAGCATCTCCATTATAATTAAGCAAAAACAATAAAGAGGGAATTTTAGAATGGATTTTAATCAAATTAAAACTTATTAAACGTTTACTAAAGAACTAAACAAATTTTGAAAATTATACGGTTTTTTTTGAGTTGATCTAGCCATGTCCGTCTGTCTAGACATGGCTAGATCGACTCGGCTATTGATATTGATCAGGAAACGCTTCCTTCTACCTGTTACGTACTTTTCACGTTATTTATAAGGTGGATTGGATGGTGCTTAATGGGAACCGTAGACTCACATATTTTGAAACATTCTAATAGACTTTTCTCTTTTTTTGTATTACGGTTTAAATGCTGCTCTTTCTTTAAAGAGTGACTGAGATAAATATATAAGCCTACTTTCTTGGAACAATAAAAGTCAATAGAGACAAAAGTATAAAGAAAGAAAGCTGAAAAAGCAAATGAATTAGTCTTAAATTTGTTTTTGCGTCTCTTTCACATACAAATCTTAAGCATCAAAGAAAAAATACAAAAGTATGGCAAATACTAAGTGCTTCATGAAAACATTCGTTGGATGGACTCACTTTGAAGAATCGCTTGCTCAACAATAAATCGAAATGGGCTTACGCCTTGCTCTGGAATACTGTCTACATAAAATACGAATCGGTTTTATATTTCCTTCTACAGTATTGCCCAAGAACTATGTATTTGGCGGGCATACTCTCAGTGGATTTTGTTTGTTTATTTAAGGCTTTGTTTGAGACAAACCTTTTAAATTAAAGCACGCATATTCTTGTTTATACACAAATACACTTATGCACATTCTATGGAAGCTATGACCGTCTAAAGAACTGTATGTTTGAATATACGTATGTATGCCGGTATGAATACATATATGTGAAGCATCATAACGGAATTAAATCAAAACCGAAAAGGGAAACAACTATTACTGTTTCCAAGAAGCTGATTTTTTTTTGTTGAAATATAAAATAACTTACCGGCTCATCTCTGCTTCCTCGGGAAGTAGATGGTTCATCATCATCAAGTGGACGCCTGCGTCCACGTCCCTGATCGTCAGCCATTTATAATTTCCTGCACTTTTTAACTCTCGAAACACCAAGCGAAGAATGAATAGAAAGCTTTGAAACTGACGCGCTGTTAGAGGTGGACTTCAATGTATCGATGTTTTTAGCTTACGTTAATCGAACTCAATTCCTTATAACGTAATCTGAAAGACAGCATCCCTGCGGAACGTTCGGGTCTTCTTATCATGTAAAATTCACATTATTATTGACCACCACAATCGAAAACAGAATAGTTTTAAATCTGTCAATTTTTTTTTTAATGTTATTTTTGTGAAAGAAAAAAGGTCTTTAAGAAAAACCGTGAATTCTTCAGAAGATAATAGTATATGGTATATACTCATAAAACAGCATTACTTAAGCCTTTCGTGATTTAGATTCGATTAGATTATAGAAAAAGCGTTTAGTGGTGTAATCTACCTGTTTTTTAAACACCTTGAAGACCAACTCGTAATAGTGGGAGTTGAATATGCAACATTTCTGTACGATCGCATGAATCTGAAGAGGCAACAAAAACAAAAAAGGGACAACACTCGTAAGAAGAAAATTTTCACCGTCTTCCTATCGTTCCACCAAGAAATACTGTAATGTGAATAGGCTATTGCGGTCCCTGATATTTTATTCACAATACATTTGGTATATACCGCAACTATTTTCCTTCAAACTCCTGTCGTTGCTAGAGCCTTAAAATACTGTTGCTCCTATTGCTATATTTTCTAAGATGTATGCAACAGCCACACTAAATTAAGTATAAACAAAACAAGTGAAAATGCAAGATATACAAAAATTTGAGCGGTCCCTTAAAGACCTGGAATATTTTAAAGACTTTCAAAGTTTTGTTAGTCCCAAAAACAATGGACAAGCACGATCAACCCATATGAAGAAAACGCACCCACGATTTAACCCTTTGACTGATCTAAATGAGAACCAATTTCGCATTAAGTACCGATACACCAAAGAAAATCTGCGCCGAATTATTGAAATTGTGCGTGACGACCTCGAAATTGAATATTATGAACCATTGAAACGGGAGCAAGTTCCAATAGACCTACAAATCCTATCCGCAATCCGACTGTGGGGCGGAACAGAGGTAAATAAAATTTCTGTATTCAAGTTTTGTATGTACCCAATAAGCGCGAATATACAACATTGTACCTAAACTGTCCGTTGTAGAGTTTTGTTTTAAAATCGAAAATTACTTTATTTTAGCACCCAAAATTGACTGCAATGGCCCATGGCGTTAGCTTACGGACTTTGGCGAAAATCACACGTCGGGTTGCTTCAGTATTATCCTCGAAAGCTTCCCGGTATATCAGAATGCCGGCCACTCTTTCCGAAAAGGAGCGAATGATGTGTTCATTTCAAGCCATTGCAAATATGCCGCAAGTTATCGGGGCATTATTGCAGACAACTGTGAGATTTCAACCGGATAACTCGGCCACAGAAGATCTTGTTGGGGAAACCCCGATTTCTGCAAAAGAGGAGGAGCTTCATCTACAAATTGTTTGCGACGCGACACATAAGATAAGGGACCTCGATATTCGTTTGATCGAAGAACATTCTATGCTTACTGACACGGAGATGTTTGCTCTGTCTAAAATAAAGGAGCGATTCGAACAGAATGAGTTTCGTGGACGCATCCTGCTGGGGAACGAAATGGTCCGTTGTTCCTCATCCCTGTTCACTCCAGTTCGATTTCCAAGGAACCAATCCGAGGAGTTGTACAACCACGCACACTCAATCACTTATGCCTCGGCCAGAAAATGTCTCAACCTGTTGATGAGTCGGTTCGGTATCCTTGGAACTGAAATACTGGGCTCTCATGGGTCTGCCAAACAAACGATTACAGCCCTATCCATTCTGCACAACATGGCAATGGAGTGGGCAGACCCCAGCATTGGTAAGTTAATATTGTTGCTCGCAGATCCTCCAATGGAATGTTTAAAATCTTAAATCTTTTTCCTTAGATACTGAACAGAACATTGCACCATTCAATTCAACATTCTTCAATTCCATAGGAAGAGCACCGAAATCTGGGGAAGATAACAATAGAAGGCAATTTATTAAAATTCATTTTGCATCTTAATAAATACAATACTTAGTTATACAACAATAATTTTCAATTAAAGTATAAGATATAAAATCAAAAACGAGAGTACAATACGTAAAAACCGACTCTACAATTTTATTGAAAAACTACTTACCTTATGGGATTCTTCGATATGATAAATGTTGACCCATAATAAAAATATCCTTGACCCAAGTATCAAATCAATAACCTTTTGACCTGGGTTTTATTTAAATTTGCCGCCCATGACTTTTGAGGACATCATTTTTACACGCTTGGAATTTATGCTACATTTGTGATTACGTTTTAAGGGAACTCCCCCAAAGTGCCTAGAGAACAGCTATCGGCTGCAGCAGCTGCGTGCGCAATCGATATATATCGTTTAATAGTACTCTGAAGTGATCACGCTGCCATCTCCAAACTGTGCACATGGATATTTCTTCAAAATACAGTAGTTTAGTTATTTTTTGTCGTAGGCTGTGAAAAGTTTTAGTAAGAAAATAAGAATTTCAGTGCTAACGCGGAACTGGAAGCTACTTTATAAACCAAATATTTGTAGACGAAATTGTGAATTTGCTATTAGTTATACTGTTAGTATATATACTTTCGCAATCAGAAAATCATTGGTACCTAAAACGCAGGATATTTGATTTTGCAGCTTTACCTCCATTTACTTGGCGCAATTTTCGTGCTGGCAATGTAATCACACCGAGCTGACGACAAGTGCTGCTGGTGACCTAGATTTTGGGAGTCCTGCGCTTGCAACACCACCGCCACCGCCACCACAATACTCTGCTCCGTTCTCCCGTTGAATCCTTGCTGCAGCAACAAAGTAAAGGTCACAAATCGCGAGGCAAGTAAGTTTTTGTACATTTGACCTGGTTTACGGAGTGTCAGGCAGCTATTTTGCGGGGGAGTGGGGGTTAATATATGTACATATAATGTATTCACCAGTCAGAGTGCCTTCTCTCTATATTCACCAGATATGATTAAAACGCATCCGTAATCTAACGTCCAAATCCGATCAGAAATCATTGTTCACAGCATATAAAACCTGTTTTAGGCCTTTTATTTGGTTTAGCGGAGTCGGAGATCAGATATCAGAGATCACAACGAGCTTAGAACGCACTATATACCGTATACGTAACCTGGACATGCTGACATGCGTAACAACAGCGGCTATAGCAACAGTCTGAACAACAACGCAGCAGCAGCACCTGCACCAGCACCTGCACCTGCCTCACGTTACTGCAATGCGGACAATACGTTTTGCTACTATAACTACGATAACTGCAACCTGATTGCTCCCTCGTGGAGCAGCCGTCAGGGTCAGAGCCAGAGCCAGAATCAAAATCAAGTACCCAACCAGAACCACAACCTGCCGTCAAAGCGAATTCCCACCAAGCAAGCAGCCAGATCGAATTACCATCAATCGGTGGCCAATTCGGCGCCGGATTCCTCACACTATGCCGATGCATTTGGCCAGCACTCGCTGGTCCACCAGCGTATAGCTGGCAACAAAAGCTGCGAGTACGTCTACCAGACGGTTCGGCGATCGGAGGATCAGCATCCCCATCCGCATCAGCATTCCAATGGGCAGTATAAGGTGACAACAAGGGCCTATGTCGCCGACAAGGAGCAACAGCAGATGTTGCTGCAGTCATCCATTGTTAACTTCGATGATCCGGAGCTAAAGAAACGGAAAGCCCGAGCCGCGGGACGTGTGTCCTCTGATTATCTGGACAATAGTCCGGAGCGATATCGGGCCCTCAATTCTCACTCACCAGAGCCAACCTGGGATACCATACTGTAATTTTGCAATTGCATTTTTGTTACTTGTCCTGCTTGTTGAAACTACATACCTCTCCAGTACACACGCACACACACACACACGTATTTTGTTGTTGTTGTGTTCGAGTCTTACAATTACCATTTGGATAACTACCGATAGATATCACACGAAACCGAAATCAAAACCAAAAACTCTAGTTGCGAGTTCATAACTATATTTATATTTATATACCCACAAACACTTATCGAACATAGATGTGTAAACAATAACATATTCCTTTGTTCGTCAGCTCGACGTTAACCGCTTTCTGTTCTCGTTTTTCAGCACAGAACGGCCGGCGCAGTATCAGACGACGAACCAGCACTATCAGCACTATTTTTCGTACTTTTACAATCGTGGAGCCGAGAAAGTGTCCAAACCTCAGTTTGTCGTTGCCAATAGCCGCAAACTGCCAATGAGTAAATTCCAAAAGTCCGGCTCCAGTCGCAGAGAATTGCGAGATGTCGATGATACCATCACTATTGGCCGTAGGGACAATTCCGAGGACAGGAGCTGGCAGAGTCCAAAGTATGACAAGCACGTCCTAAAGGAGAAGCTGCCAAGCAATGATGTGGAAGCGGATTACCTCGACAATGGCTGGGGAGAAACGGGGAGTGGCGAGGATTACAGGGATATCAAGGATGGCTATGACCCCGCTATTGTTATTGACAACGACCTGGACCAGGTCCATCGGCGCTATTGCAGAAAGTCCGAGAACACGGTCCTGGACGATGCGGCAGATACTCTAATCAATAACAACAATAATGAAATGAAAGTGATGCGCAAATCGACAGATCAACCGGCACCCCGGTTGCCGATGACGCCAAAGCGGGTCAAAGGCGGTGCCGTTTCCGCCAAGAAACCAATGCCAACGGTTCACCGGGTTCTGCTGTACAGCACACAAAGTCCACGGATGGGCCGTAAGCAACCGTTTTCCTCGCAGCGACTCAGTATAAAACAACAGAACACCAAATCATTAGGTGGTGGCGACGAGGGACAGACGGTTATACTGCTGGAGCCAGAAACAAAACCGGAAGACCACCGCAGTGCAATAGACTTTGATCGTAACGACGACTTTGATGAAGATGATGACCTCGACAACCGTAAGATAATTTTCTTAAAACCCCCGCTTTTTGTTCGGATACAATTTGGCAA